GAGGGAGAGAGAGAGAGAGAGAGAGAGAGAGAGAGAGAGAGAGAGAGAGGGAGAGAGGGAGAGAGGGAGAGAGAGAGAGAGAGTGAGAGAGGGAGAGAGAAGAAAGATTAGTTTGGAGTGTATATGCCGGTGGTGCGCGGGCGAAGCGGTCCTCCACAGAGTCTGTCTATATATCTTCGGTGGTGTGCGGACGAAGCTTCCGTTCATCGTTCTTTCTATGTCTTCCGTGTCGTATGTGTTCGTCTGTGCATTTTGCCACAGAGATTCAAACTGAGAATGCCTGTGCGTGTGTGTGCGTGTGTGTGCGTGTGTGTCTGTGTGTGTGTGTGTGTTTGTGTGTGTGTGTGTGTGTGTGTGTGTGTGTGTGTGTGTGTGAGAGAGAGAGAGAGAGAGAGAGAGAGAGTTTATCTGTATGTCTTCGGTGATGTGCGGGTGAAGTTTTCACTTACGTCCTGTTGACAAGTTGTGCTCGGTGGACATTAGCTAGGCCTTGTTTTCTTTTAGGTCTGCTGCAGACGATTCGGTTGCTGTGACTTCAGACTCCATTTCAGTCAGCCAGCGAGGGATTGTGAGTATCTGTCGATGGTACGGATTTAGTAGCTACCGTCTTCCCTCGAATACAACGTACGGTCATTATAATAGCTGTACGTTGTATGATAGCTCTATAATAGCCGTACGTCTATAATAGCTCTACTGAAATACAATGCATTGTATTTCAGTAAAGTAATAATGTTATTAGATCTTCTCGACTTACCTTATTGGAGCTGTGATCGGGCAGAGCGATAAGTGTGGCCTTAAGGCCTTTTCCTTCTTCTTTTTTTTTTTTTTTTTTTTTTCCCTCCTAAAGGGCGAAGCCCTTGAGATATCATCTCAATCTCATCTTTCCAACTACTGACCGGTCCCGGGTGGATTTTTTTTTTTTTTTTTTTAAAAGCTATGTTCTTCTCTCAATTTCACCTCACATTACCTACCTACCACTACTCGTAATGGTAGGCACACGGGGAACCCGTAGCAGCAGCCAGAACCGTGTTCGGTCTGGTCATTTGTTTGTATCTGGATTGGAACTTGGTACCTCGGTACCTTATGGGTCTTCTTTTCTGTCGGTTGGAACCTCATGGGTCTTTTTTTGACAGTTTGTGGGTGTCCCAACTTAGCCACGCTCCTTGGTACCTTATGTTTCTTTTTTCTCAAGCTTCTGGCTGTTGGAACCCCATCATGGGTCTTTTTTTTCAAGCTTATGGCACCCCTGGTTGGAACTAGTTTTGCTGTCCGTCTGTTGGAGACAGAGAGATCCTTATCGCAGGTTGAAGGTTGACTTCTTTCTCTCTCTCTCTCTCTCTCTGTGTCTATCTTGTCAAGGCACGGCCACGCGGTAATGAATCCCAACAATTTCAACCACGGGTCCTGTACGGAACCTGTTCATTACTCGAGAGCCGTACGGACTGAACTGCGGTAGCCTTGGCTACCAAAAAAGGAAATGCTGAAATTCTTTACTGTACGGAACCTGTTCATTACTCGAGAACCTGTCCATTGGATTCTTCTTAGCTCGGTCATTAAACCAGCAGGGTAAGGGAAAACAGGAGCCTGAGGGTGAGGTCCCACGAGCAAAGAGGATTGGATTGAACGCCTGAGAATCTGGATGCGTTTGTGGGAAAGATGCAGAGAACATGGTGGTTGAATTGCTTTTCTGCATCTCGTCTTGTATCATGTCCAGATTCAGGGAGTGTAGCTTAATCTTCCAACCCTGTTTGCTGACGGGACGTCGCCCTAATTTGATGATTGAAGCTTTTCTGCATCTCGTCTTGAAACATGTCCAGATTCAGGGAGTGTAGCTTAATCTTCCAATCCTGTTTGCAGGCTTGCGAGCTTCCGCGAAGGCAACTGCGCCCCTTTTTTTTTTTTTTTTTTTCAAAAGTGGCCTTGGCCTCTGCCTCTGCTTGCTGCTTTCGTTACTGGGGGCCAASCCCCCCCCCCCCCCCCCCTCTCAATTAGAAGCGTGGAGTTTCCTCAACGCATGAATCTGGACTTGTTCGTGGAGATGTGCGGTTGAGGGAACTAAACGCAGTTTTCTGCACATCTCCACGATCACGTTCAGATTCATGCGTTAAGCAAACTCAACGCTGCTAGTGGGACTTGGTCCCGACCCAGGCCCGATTCGAAAATGCTCTTGCCTCTGTATTGCACTGCTGCAGAGCGCGGCGCAGCTCTCAAAAAAAAAAAAAAAAAAAGAAGCTCTTGCCGCGTGCCAACGAGCTTATAGCTCGGTTGGTACCCCCTCGTTGGTACGCCCATAAAACTGTTGAAGTCAACAGAAATGTGCAGACCTCAGTTGGAATCCAGATGGAAAGTAATTCAGATGATGAACGAAATTCTTGAATCACCTAACCCTTTTCCCCCGAATACAACGTACGGTCATTATAGCTGTATTTGAGGCATCTTTCAGTCCAGATACACAGCTGTAATTACCGTGCGTGCGTTGTATTCGCGAGGAGAAGAAGGTACACCGGTCAGTTTTACGATGATATCTTGCTGCGTAAACTTTTTTTTTTTTTTTGTTTTCTTGCTGCGTAAACTGGCAAGAGCAGTACCTTTTTTTTTTTTTTTTTTTTTTTCACCGTAACTTCTCATTATAACAGGTTAAATTAAGGCCCAGCCTCGTCTTTGCCTGGAATAAAGGGATGTTTGGGGAAAAAAAAAAAAAAAAGGCCCGGGACCTCACAATTCAACCCGGAGTTATCCTGGGAGCATAACCCAGTTTCGCTTACACGACGAATTGGTCGAGAAAACCTTGTACCAATCTCAGGAGCTTAAGGAGAAACGCAAGGAGCAAAATTGACCAGATTCAGGCCTCTGTCCTGCTTACCTCGCTCCTGGAGAAATAAAACAAAGCTTCAAGCCTGCAAAACCTCACAAACCAAAAGACAATCCTAAATTAAAAAAAAAAAAAAAAAGCAATTCTAAATAAACAAAACTTCAAGCCTCCTATCCACAACGGGTGGTCCCCTACCAACCACTCATCTACCAATTAGCGTCTAAAACGACGGGTGGTGGTCGCCACTGGGACTCACGAAGCTTAAAGTGGTGGTCCCACCTCAACAACACTCAACCAACCGCCCGTCCTCCGGCGGATTTAGCGTCTAAAACGACGGGTGGTGGTCCCCACTGGGACTGAAGAAGCTTAAAGTGGTGGTCCCACCTCAACAACACTCAACCAACCGCCCATCCTCCGGCGGATTTAGAGAACCGAGCGAGCCAGGTTCAGTTCAAATTGCAAACCAACTGTCCCAGACTAATTAGTAATTTCCCCTGCTTCCAATTTCACCAGCTTACCTTCTCTACCCCAGGTATATCTCCGAACCACTTTTGTCGGGCAGCTCTTTCTGGGGAATCCTCTCTCTTAGGGCAGCGCCACACACACCACTCTGGGAATGTGAAAAATGAGAATGAACTTGCTTCGAGAACATGGCCAGATGCACCCGCCACGTTTTTGTCTTTTTCACATTTTGACAGTGGTGTGGCGAAAAAGTGTTGGTGCACTATGATGCTTTATATGGTCCTTTGTTGAAGAGATCGAGTCCTTTGTTGGGAAAAAAAGAAGTCTGTTTTTTTTTTGTTTTTTTTTTTTGGATGTCGATGTAGGGTGAATGAGAAGGGAGGGGCCAGTCCTTCGGGACATCCGTTAAAATTGGAACGATACAGAGAAAGAGAAGATTTGCGTGGTCCCTGAGCAAGGATGACCCGCATAAATCGAGAAATGGTCCAAATTAAAAAAAAAAAAAAGTCCCCTGCGCAAGGATGACACGCATAAATCGAGAAATGGTCCAAATGAAAAAAAAGAAAAGAAGAGAGGGGCCCGATGGGCCGGATGAAAATGTTGTGTGCAGATCCCGAGCGCGAGCTGCAAGGAATGGAGAAGAATTATCGCTCACTAGACTCGGACACTAGCGTGTTTTCATACGAATGGAATGCCCGGTCATTATAGCTGTATTTGGTGCAAGTCTCAGTCTAGATTCAGCCATGATGACCGGGCGTTGTATTCGAATGAACACGGTGGATCTGTATAGGAATCGTGAATAGCAGCGGCCACAAACCTATATAGGAAGAGAATGGCGACGTCAACAAATAAGGAACTAAACGCAGTTTTCTGCACATCTCCAGGATCACGTCCAGATTCGGGCGTTGAGGAAACGTATGGGAAGAGGAGAGAATTCTTGGTCCATAATACAGAACTCCTGGTCCATAATAGGGAATTCCTGGTTCATAATAGAGAATTCCTTGTTCCGTAATAGATGTATTTGGTGCAAATCTCAGTCTAGATACAGCCATGATGACCGGTACTGGTCCATTATAGGGAATGCCTGGTTCATAGAGAATTCCTGGTTCCATAATAGCTGTATTTGGTGCAAATCTCAGTCTAGATACAGCCATGACGACCGGCACTGGTCCATAGTAAGGAATTCCTGGTTCATAATAGAGAAGTCCTGGTTCCATGGCTGTCACAAGTATCAGCGTTGGTTACTCAGTGACGAGACCCCCCTGTGGGATAATTGAGGCCGCTGCCGTCTTCTCTCGATCACAACGCACCCTCATTTTGGCTGCATCGGACCGGAAATATAGCTAGTATACATTCATTTTTAGGGTGCGTTATGTTCGGGGAAATACGGTAGTCTAACACGGTTAAAGATCTCTGTCGGTATCTTTGCCATTATCAGCATGCATCCGCTTTTCTTGCTTGTTTTTCCGTTTTCGCTCTACTCCTCCCCCTCCCCCCCCCCTTTAGAATCTTGGGATTAAGATTCTATGGATGATCTGATGGCCACATTCTCTAGCTGTATTTGGTGCAAATCTCAGTCTAGATACAGCCATGATGACTGATTGACTATCTCATCGCGAAGCTGAGGCCGCCTGAATTCAGCAAAAGGGGGATCAAAAGACGCATGTGCAGAATTGCTGTGAGTGGTCTCCTTTGGCATGTTGGTTTTCTTGTGTCTCTTTGTTTCCCTGAGCTTTTGTTCTCCTTTTTTTATTTTTCTGTTTCCCCCCCCTGTGTATGCAGCCCTTCAGTGTTTTTTTTTTTTCCTGGGTTTTTATTTCTCTAGGGTTTTTTCATCTTTTCTTTGCCTGTACATAGTTTTTTGTTCGTGTGCGTACAGTGCTAGTATACATTGCCTATCTTTCTCGTAAGAGGGAGAGTTGTGGAGGGGTGTGTGTGTGTGTATGAGAGAGAGAGAGAGAGAGAGAGAGAGAGAGAGAGAGAGAGAGGGAGTACATTGCCCATCTTTCTCGTAAGAGGGAGAGATGAAGCAGTTGTGTGTGTGTGTGTGTGTGT